TATTTATATTTATATTTATATTTCTTTATTTATGAATTTATGTATTTATACTTACTTTCTTAGTGCGGCTTTTTGATAAGTTTATTAAGATAGGATGACTTCGTGGGTCTACCATGCAGGGCTTGCGCGGAACCTGGGGAAAGGGTGGAGCTACCTAGCGATGTGCGGGATTTGGGCTAGAAAGGGAATCCTTGCATCATGGAGAACCGGGTCCTGAATTCCAAGAAGACGGTCGCCACTGTTGGTTTGTGTTATACTGAAAGCACTACGAGAAGAAACCCAAGCTTCCAGCCGAGGAAGAACGAATGCGAGTATCATGCCGGGCCTTGTCAGCATACAGTAGAACCGGACAGACCGAATATAATCCCGAACCTTCGAAACCCGGCCTACGTCCTGCTCACTAAGATCATACTAAGATCCCTGCGGCCCCCAAACCAGCTTGTCTCACCACCGCGCTCAAGACAAAGCGGAAAGTAGGGTAAAACTCCAGCAGTGATCCTCCTGGTTGCTCGACGATGAAGCAGCCGCCCAAGGCTACAGCCAGAAGTAGGAGACAGGAGCTCCTGAGGCAGTCAGGTATAATTCTATTTCTATAGAGCCACATCGTTTATGAAGAAGTCGAGCAAGCCCTCCTAGATCGAAGCGCCCTTTGGAGCCCCAAGCCCTGCCTCTCTAGCATCATATTAGCCTCTCGAACTGAAGGCTTTGTTCGATCCCCCAGCGGGTCGCAAGCACATCGCTTCGAAGTTCCCCTGTTGATGCTGGTCCACGAGGAGCACTTGATACCCAGCCAAATTGCGAAAGCTTGCGGTTTGCACTTCAGCAAAGCCACTATAGCCAGCCTTGGTCACAAACATACCGGGGTAGCCAAAACCCCACAGCAGTTACATAGCTCACATAAGCAACTTTAAGAGAAACGCATCACTTGGAAAATTGTTAGCTTGCAACTAGGTTTCACAAAGCCGGAGGGGCTGTTGATATCCATAAAATTCGATGAATGAGGACGGTCCGGCGAGGGCGTATGATAGACTTTATCAAAACGGGCACCCGTGTAACCTTTCAAGCGCACCTTTGAAGTGCACCGAGATGAGCCAGCAAAGTACTCGATCCACTCGAAGCACTGTGCATGGGGTTCATGCAGGGATGCACACATCCACTCACCGCGTGGGTCTATATCAGCACACAACAGAACGGCGTCTGCATCTGTCCCACCAGCCTGCGTGAGGTCGTAGAGGCCAGTGGTCCAGATCGTCAGCAGCACGAGGGCAATGAAGTCCTGAGACAGACACCAGAACGTGGATGGATTGACAAAGCCCCCTCATCAGTTTTGTTTTGAACAGTTTCTGCACACACCAAGGATACACATGCAGCGAGCGGCTTTTGGAGCCCCCAAGGCCAGGAGCTTGTGCACCAGTTCATCTACCAGTGCCATGTTGTCAGCACACGAGGGGCCGGGCACAAACACACCACGACTCTAAATATTGTCTCAGGACTGAGGGCCAGCAGCATTCATTCAAAGTAGGGACACGTCAAAAGATGCGGAAGACACAGAGCAAGCACCGGCAACTCGAGCAATATGCCAGGTCGACTACGTTGATGGTCTTTCTGCTTGCGCGCACGACGGCAACGAGCCTTGAACTTCAGCCGCGGCATGAAGCAACCTGGGCAGGACAATCTTTAAGGTTATAGGGCTTTTACAGGTGGTTAACTTCGGAGCGAGTGCATTCGTGTGTAAGCAGACTGGCGGTGCATGCCCCGCTTGTTTTCAACTTTGGACTCGCAGCTGGGTCCTGTTTTGCTTCGGTAGCTAAGCAAGCGTGCTTCAGGATGTTCCCCCAATGTAAGACCTTTTTAGAGTGTATGCATCAGCCGCATGTACGAAAACAACCCGAGACGTCTTCGTAAGAAAAGGCTCAGGAGACGATGAAATTGAAGACCCCGACATGATTATTATCAGGGTTTAGGGTTTAGGGTTTTTTGGGCTTTAAGGGTCTATTAGGTTTAATGGCTTATCCGGTTTACTTTGCATCCTTCTCGCAGCGCTTGCTAGCAGCAGGCCACAACACTCCCCCGATGAGGCCAGGCAGGAGCTAGCTACAATGCCATCACGGCGAGCACAGCACTGACTTTGATATTCAGCACTCTAAGTTCCCCGACTGAGCTATGCATCGACAGCTCCAGCAAAATAGCAATCACCATTCAGATTGCTCTAGTCTTCATAGTTCATGGCACCTAGTTCCTTCACCGCCTTGAACCCGGCAGCCTTCAAGGATAGCACCTTGGGTGCGATGTCCTCGTGCCTCGGGTCAAAGATGTTCTCCTGCTCGATGAACCAAGCCTGGGCGGAGCAGGTGGGAGGAGTTAGTGTTCGGGATAAGCTTGCAGGGCGGGGACACCAAGATGCAAAGCTGCAGCCCTGTAAACTACTAAGTACAAACTACTCTCCCACACATAGTACAAACTACTCTCCCACACAGTCCTTTAAATTAGCAACCCTAGTAGCAAAGTCCACAACCAACTGCATCTGCGGCATGTAGTGTAACTGTTACCGACAAGCAGCCAGCAGGTAGGTACAGGCAATGGCCAGCAAAAGCCCGGGCTTGTTCTTAGCGAAATGGAAGTGGCCCACATTGGCTTTGCAAGCCGTGCCCTCGTCATCTTCGTAGTGGAAAGTCAAAGCGCACTCCCACCGGCTCCAATATATGTCCGGGTTCAAGTAGGTCCACACTGGTCTCCAGGCTTTGACCTCTCGCTTGAGCACCGGAAGATCGGCATTGGGATCCTCGAAATCCCCCCAGAAGCTAAGGATGTACTTGTAATCCTCCGGGTCGTGGGGCGTGTCGTCGGCGGACTTGCGGTTCAGGCGGACGCTGGGTGCCACTCGGGCAGCACGGGACTGCTTAGTCGCAGTGACCTCGGCCTGCTTGGGATTGTTCTTCGATCCCTTGGGTCGCCCCCCCTTGGACTTGGGCTTCTCGTCGCTCTCGGCGGGCTCCGCCCCAACGTCCTCCTGAGCTTTCGAAGACGAAGCCTTCTTGGATTTGGCAACGGTGGCTTTCGGCGAGGCTTTGGCTTTCGCGGTGGCTTTGGCTTTCGCGGTGGCTTTGGCTTTCGGTGACCCTTTGCTTTTCGGCTCTGCGGCTTTGGCTTTCGGTGACCCTTTGCTTTTCGGCTTTGCGGCTTCGGCTTTCGGTGTGGCTTTGCTTCTCGGTTTTGCTTTGCTGGTAGATGACGGATCCTCAGGCTCAAACTCCTCTTCCTGGACGGGCTCCGCTTCGTCCTCGTGTGGCTCAAGTCCTTCCGTGTCCTCAAACGAAGAGCGCGAACTGCGCATCTTCTTCATGCGAGCAAGCTTGCTCTTGCTCTTCTTGCGCTTGAGCTTCTTGCCGCCCTGATTTTTTTTCTCTTTGTTGGCAGCTTTGATCCTCTGTCTCAATCCAAGCTGCTCTCGTCTCCCGAAAGCCTGTCAAATGCATATATGAGCAGCATAGCCAAATGAATATGGTTGGTTTCGATACCTGGGTTGCAAAACTAGAGATCTACAGGCATGACCTTAATAACTGTCGACAACAACCGTGGGATGCTTCGGCAGGCCTCCGCGGGAGCTTCGTCGGCCTCTGCAGCTTCGGCCTCTTCAGGCTCTGGAGCTGCTTCATCATCCACAGGAGCCTCAGCATCAGGCATCGGCGCCTCGACAGCACACGGCTCCTCGTCGCGAGCAGGTAGTGTCGAGGGGTCAGCGGGAGGCATCTGATCTTGCTTGGGTTCATTGGGATGCTGATAGGCCCAACGCTTTGCTTCCACGGTTGTTGAGCTCGGGATTCTCTGCGGCTTGTTGTACTCTGGGGTCAAGGGAGCATTAGTTGTATCCACTGCCATGATGTCAAAGAGCTGGGTCTCGGCATTGTCTGCACCCGCAAGACTGAAGTTGTTCTTGGAAGGAGGGGTCACCAGCGCGGCGGCTGCGGCGGCTGCGCCAGGCTCTGGACGGCCTACCGCCGGCTGCGCAGTGGCTTGGCTTCTCAGGCGGTACTATACACGACACGAGTATGGAAATGCTCGGAAGATTGGATTATTCTGTTTTGAAACAAAGGCCTGGGGAGGGTTCCTCTGGCTGCACACGCATGGACGGGTCAAACTTCGCCCGCTTCTCCCGAATCCTTGGAATAGCCAAAGTCTTAAAACCATCGACATTCGGAGCCGATTCTTTTGTAGACACATACGAGCTTGAACTACATCTAAGCAAGACACTTCCTGAGCTCATCCTGCAAAAGCTGGAGCTGGAACTTCTTCGCTTTGCCTGGGATGAGCAATGACCGTGCATATATTTGTGGGGTTTATGATTCATGACATCCCGGAAACCTCAATGGACCTAGTAACCTATATAGTATTTGTGTAGCACAAACTCCATCAAAGCACGCTAAAGCCGAAGAGTTACTCGACTCTGCAGAAGACACGGATTGACTTGGCGAGGGTCGCTCAGACACAGGGGAGGGAGTGCTGGGAGCACTCGGGACAATCGCACCAGAACTTGGCTCCGCTGGAACACTATCGGCCCTGGGTCCAACAACTCTTGGCATAGGAGCTTCGGGACCACGTGTTGGCTTGGGTCTGGGAGCTTCGGGACCACGTGTTGAGGCTTCGGGATCGCGTGTTGAGGGAGCTTCGGGACCACGTGTTGAGGGAGCTTCGGGACCACGTGTGGAGGAAGCTTCGGGCCCACGTGTTGAAGGTGCTTGGGGACCACGTGTTGGCTCGGGAGTATGGGTTGAATCGGGCCTGGGCCTGGGGGCTTCGGAGCGTCTCGATGGCCTGGGGCGAATTGGAAAGGGTGGTATGGGGCTTTCGGGAGCTGGCTCGGCCTCGACACCTGCTGGATTCGGCTCCGGTCTTGGTTCGGGAACCGGTGTTGGCTCGGGTTTTTCTCCCGGCACCAAAGCTCCAGCCCCGGAGTCCGGCTGGCTTATATCAAGCAGCACCTGCTTCCGAGGAAAGCTGAATGCTTCACAAATACGTACTATCGGAACAGTATATCTTTTTATTTGCTATAGGGCCATGTAGCGCCTCCAACGTGTCATCAGGCGATGCCTCGGGGACGGATTCTGCACGTCGCCGGATATCTTGCACCAGGTCCTGCAAACGCTGCGAACGAACCGGGGCTTAACAACACAACGCGACACTCAGGACCGCACTTAAAAGGCATCCTCCAGGCCCGGATTCAAAATGAGGCACAAGTCTTGGAAATCCGGTTCCTAAGTTGGCCCAAGATGCAGGCTGCAGGCTTTGTTTAGGTCTAGAATGTTTAGAATTAAACCTCGAATTTCATATAATTCCCAGGATCCAAAGAAACCAGATGCTTCTGGGTCTTGCGCTTCACATGACCCACGAGGTGACGGAGAGCCCATGCCTCATCGTCGACTTGGGACTCCGCAGGCTCCCTGCCCACGAGTTGATAAACCTCTTGCACTGTTGTTCGCAACGGCTCGATGTCCGGGATCTTAAGGTTGCAGGAGGTCATTCGAACCAACATGGGGGCGAGGATATCCAAGTTCAAGATTGCCAAACGATTGCTTGGATCATAGGTCTGATCCTCATTCTGAATCACAAGCCTGCCCTGTTCCGAACGCACTCTGGCCCGGATATTGTCCACTCCTTCCCAATCCTTCGCCAGACCCTCCACTGAAAAACGATCAGCCATGGCGAAAACTACCTTCTAGCTGCAAAGCCGATACAGCTAGATAGAAAGATCCCCAAACTGCCGTCATCAAGCAACATCCCACTTCTCTGCGAGGTGTCTGCATTGGGGCCCTGGCATCCTTCGCAGATCGAAGATGGTCAGGGCCGTCACGACAAAAAGAGCCGATGCGCTGCCCGAGGTCTCTGAAGCCCCCACAATTCGTCGGACTCCACAAGATTACCTCTTAAACCCCAATATGAACATGAGAAATCCCGATATATACAATAAGAATCTAGGTTTTAAAGAAGAACCAGGTTTTACTCAAGAGAACGCGGTTCTCACACAACTTGCTCTCAGAACCAGGTTGTGCACTAGCAACCTACTTTATATTAGGTTCTGGCTGCTGAAGGCAAAGCCTCGGTGAACAAACGACCACGTGTCCATGGCAGCCCCGTACTCGCCCGTACTCGCCTCCGGCTTCCAGGAGGCGCTTCGCCGTGCTTTGGAAGTCACCCGTCTCCCCTGACGGAAGCCGTCGTGCTGCCGTCAGGCTGCCAGGCACGCAACGCAGGCGCAACGCGTGGCACCTGCGTCCTTCCCGCTGGGAGGGCTGAGCCTCAGAAAGCGGCAAACACCATTTAGTCTCGCTTCCTCTCTTCCTCTCTTCCCTCGTCCCGCGTCACTTCTGAGGAAAGTGGCTGCTGAGTGGTCTTGACGACCTGCAGGTCGTGTTCTTTCGAACGCTTCAGCGGCTTCACGGACGCAGGCGCGCATGGGGGCCCTGCAGGGCCTCCAGGGGCTGCAGCACCGCACGGACCACTGCGCTGCAGACGGCGCCGGACCCGGAGATCGCCAGGCCTCGCTCGAGGAGACGAGCGCCCGCGGAGGAAGCCAGAGGAAGCCAGAGGCACAGACAAAGGAAGCCAGATCAGAAAAGGCATGTCCAATGTGCTCTCTTCGTGAGCGCATTGCAGCGCTCTCTCTTGGCTCTGGCTCCCGGCGGAGGTACTGCGAGGCGTCCAGAGCCCGTTCGCGAGCGACCGGAGATCTTCCCAGAGGACCGAAGAGCGGATCCAAGCCTCGGGCCGGGGAGGACGGGGAGGAGGAAGCGGCGAAAGGCGCCGCCATGCAAAGGCGCCCCTGCGCCCCCCCGTGTGTGCCCAAGGCGGTGCGCAGGCCAAGGCGGTGCAGGCCAGGAGCTCGCGGGGCGCTCCGGCGCCGGCAGCTCCGCCCCGGCCAAGCGGCCAACGCCAAAGCCCTGCGGAAACTCTGAGACAAAGACAGGCTGGGCTGTTCGGTTCGGGGCCTCGTGGCCGTTTACGTCCGCCTGATTAAGCCTCACACCTTCGAAACAGTCCTGTTGGGGTCACTGTTGCAGCCTTGATGCAGCCTTGGAGATCTTTCGGAGTTCCCGGCCTCGCCGCCATCAAGGTTCACCTCCAGCGAGGACAGAGCTGCAGCGGCAAGGAGGGCTCGCTCGGTCGGGCGATAGTAGCCTCGGGAGCTCCGCCGCTTCCTACTACTGCATCCCGCTGCTTTCCACGGCAACGGCGCCGGACCGGACGGGGACCGGGACACAATCTGGGAAGCTGGCTGGTGGTGCCGTTCCACACGGACTCACAGCGCCAGACCATCCTGTGCTGTGCGCTGTGCGCAGGGCGCAGGGCGCAGGGCGCAGGCCAGGCCCAGGCGACATTCAAGAAGCCCAAACCAAGCTGAGGGACTGGGATGAGCGCAGCGAGTCGACGTGGAAGGGATTCCTTGGGCAGTCGCTGCAGGGCGGCATCCGTAGCAGCTGCGGCCGCGTCCAGGTTCGAGCTGGGAATGTCCACTTCAAACGCCCGCCAACGGCTCAGCACAACCCTAAGATCCAGGGTTGCGGGTTTCAAGAGAATCACTGCATCACGACATGCCAGTTCCGGCCGATGCCACTGCCCTCTAAGCCCATGGCAAAGTCCTCAGCAGCAAAAACTTCCTATTTCACATCCTTTCGCTCCACCGCATGCTCAGAAATCCCAATGCTTCTGTTGCAGGATTGCTGTCTCAGTACTAAGTGAGCATCCAAACTCGAGGTGACATCGTTGACCAGCTCCTCAATGACATTCACGGGCCTTCGCACTAAATCGGTGAGCAGTGGCAACATGCCCTGTAAATTACACAGCTTTCGCTGGATTTCGCTCTGATGATAAAATAATCTGTCCCTCACCAACGAATAGCCAGGCCGCTGCAAGTCGGACGGAAGTAACGACGGAGCAAAAGCCACCTGCAGGGAGAAGCAGACTGTGCACAGACTGGTGATGCGAAACTGCGTGCTTCTGCTCCATGCGGCATCACGGGAGCTACAGACAGCACTTGCCCCGAGCCTGGCGCTTTGCCGACGTGTCACTCCGGCAAAGGCCACGGAGCGCTTTCGCCAGGCTTTGGATGCCTGAGATGAGGAAAATGCAGGCCCGTGAAGACGCAAGGGTGGCGACACCACGCGGGTCACGCCGTGGTACCCTGTGCATCGCTGCCGTAGGCGCCGATGATGCCCAGGTCCACAGCCGCCGCCAGAGCCGCAAATTGTGCTCGCCGCGCCTCAGCCGGTGCAGCGCCCTCGGGCGCTGACCTTAAGTCGGCAGAGAAGTAAGCAACCAGACAGGACCAGAGAAGAAGCGAGATGAAGTGAGGGGACTGGCAGAGCTGAGGTGCGGGCTGCGCCCAAAGTTTGATCGATCTGCCTGCTGTGGTCACAATTGACACGTTAATATTTAGCGGCCTGTGCAGGCGAGTGGCGGTCGTAGTTGATTAACACCTGGGTCCGATCCGAAAATGAAATGAGCAGGACAAGCAAATTCAAGACGAGGTTTTTCTGCATTCAGCACAGCTAGGCCGGCTACTTCTGCCGTGATGCTACAGCTGCTACAGCAACCTTCCTCCCCTTTGCCTGCATTGTGAATCCCCGAACAGACAGCCTGCACAAATCCCCGCATGGACTTGTGACTTGAGATGGCTCCTTCGCAACACGCGTGCGCATCGTGCGCCTGCGCGGGGCGGGGCGGCGGCGCGGTGCCATGGCCAGGGCTGAAAAAGCGGACCGCAACGCATGCAACGCATGCAACGCAACGCCAAGCGGCTCGGGTGAGATAGGTCAGAAAGGCACGCGGAAGAGGGGCCTCCGTGAAACTGAAACGCTGCTCTGGGCCCCATGAAACAGAGAACATTGCCGCAGCGGAGCGGAGCCTGCGAGCCCCGGAGCTTGCGTTTGCTCAGCTTCTGCAGTTCTTTGGCACGACGCTTGAGCACCTCGCAGCTCTGCAGCTTGCACACACTCGAAGCGAAAGCTCCCTGAGCTGAGCTGTTGCTGTTGCATTTATGAGCTGAGACCGGCGGCGCTTGCAGTCGTCCAAACCTCTCCGAGGTTGTCCGTCTCTGTGTACACGGGAGCCTCAGCACCGGCACACTCCGGGCCTCGTCAACCGATAAGTGCCCTGAGCCTCCGCGAAAGCCTCTTCCGCCAGCAGCGCCACGGCAACGGCATCGAAGACACGCCGGCGGCCAGGGCAGCGGTGACTCAGCAGCACATGCAGCACGCAGCGCACGCGCGCACACAACGACATGCAGACCTTGCCGACACAACTTCACCGCGAGCCTGGAGCCCGCGCTGCGACTATGGCCCGGTTCGCACCAGGCCCGCCACCTTGAAGTTTCGAGGCTTCAAGGACCAGAAAACCCAAAGCCCCGGACGTGGCTCAACCCCTGGATGCATCACAACCGAGAGCTCGCCTCCCCGATGGCGGTTGTGGGCTCAGTGGCGCTGCGCCCAGCGGTGCTTCTGAGTGCGAAGGAGCTCATGTTCTTGTTCCACGTGTTTTGGCTTGAGGGCTTGCCATGTGCACGTAGTGAAGATTGGGATCCGACCATCGGTGTCCGGGTTGGCGAGGCCAGTCATCCCGGGCCAGGTGCCTCTGCTGCTGCGAAGAGGGTGCGAGAGGAGCGCAAGGTCTTGTTTGCCTTGGGGAAGGAAAGGAAGGCGATGAAGCAAGCTGTTTCACAGTTCATGGGAAGTGCACCCGCCCCGAGTGGTGCTCCGGAAGCTCAGGCTCTCCGGAAGAAGAGAAGGAAGCTCAGGTACCGCCCGTCGGCGCCTGCACTTTCGGGAATCAGAGACTCGCCTGCTGTGGTTGCGAGCGAGCGTGCTGATGGTGATGGGAAAGGTGGGAATGGGGCTCCTCTGGGCTCTTCAGTCTCAGTTCCATCCAAGGGCCTGGGGAAAGGCTCTGAAGCGAGTGTAGCTTCTGCTGCTGTGGGCGTTGGTAGCGGGGGTAGGCCTATTGCAAAGGGCACTGTGATCAAGGGTGGCCATGACAAG